AGTAGAGATGGGGTTTCTCCATGTTGATCAGGCTGGTCTCAAACTCCTGACCTCAGGTAATCTGTCCGCCTTGGCCTTCCAAAGTGCTGGGATTACAGGTGTGAGCCACCGCACCCGGCCTATCTTCCCTTTAAGAAGTATTTGATTCAGCCAGGCATGGTGGCTCACGCCTGTAATCCCAGCACTTTGGGAGGCTGAGGTGTGTGGATCACCTGGAGTCAGGAGTTCAAGACCAGTCAGATCAACATGGTGAAACCCGTCTTGACTAAAAATACAAAAAATTAGCTGGGCTCTGTGGCAGGCACCTGTAATCTCAGCTACTTGGGAGGCTGAGGCAGAAGAATCACTTGAACCCAGGAGGTGGAGATTATAGTGAGCTGAGATTGCGCCACTGCACTGCAGCCTGGACAACAAGAGTGAGACTCCATCGCAAAAAAAAAAAAAAGCCAGGTGCGGTGGCTCACGCCTGTAATCCCAGCACTTTGGGAGGCCGAGGCGGGTGGATCACGAGGTCAAGAGATCGAGACCATCCTGGTCAACATGGTGAAACCCCGTCTCTACTAAAAATACAAAAAATCAGCTGGGCATGGTGGCGCGTGCCTGTAATCCCAGCTACTCAGGCGACTGAGGCAGGAGAATTGCCTGAACCCAGGAGGCGGAGGTTGCGGTGAGCCGAGACCGCGCCATTGCACTCCAGTCTGGGCAACAAGAGCGAAACTCCGTCTCAAAAAAAAAAAAAAAAAAAGAAATATTTGATTCAAGTGCTTATTTTCCTTTTGGCCAATTAATTTGAGCTATTTTTATATACATCACACACACAACACATATATAACTCCACAGACTGGCAGAAGAAAACTCAGCCTCCACAAGATCCTTCATTTGCCAATCTCCTATTTGGACTATTGGTCTTCCGGTAATTTTAATTCCTGGGGTTTCATGAAGAAAGCAGGCTGGACGTGGTGGATCACTCCTGTAATTCCAGCACTTTGAGAGGTTGAGGTGGGTGGATCACCTGAGGTCAGGAGACCAAGATCAGCCTGGCCAACGTGGTAAAACCCTGTCTCTACTAAAAATACAAAAATTAGCTGAGCATGGTGGTGCACGCCTGTAATGCCAGCTACTCAGGAGGCTGAGGCAGGAGAATTGCTTGAACCTAGGAGGCGGAGGTTGAAGTGAGCTGAGATCATGCCAGCACACTCCAGCCTGGGCAACAGCCTGGGCCCAAGTGGCTGGGATTACAGGTGTCCGCCACGCATGCCCAGCTAATTTTTGTATTTTTAGTAGAGACAGGGTTTCACCATCTTGGCCAGGTGGGTTTTTAACTCCTGTCCTCATGATCCACCCAACTTGGCCTCCCAAAGTGCTGGGCTTACAGGCGTGAGCCACCATGCCTGGCCTATTTATTTATTTATTTTTGAGCTGGAGTCTGGCACTGCCGCCTGAGCTGGAGTTCAGCAGTCTGATCTTGGCTCAATGTAACCTCCACCTCTCAGGTTCAAGTGATTCTCCTGCCTCAGCCTCTGGAGTAGCTGAGATTACTGGTGCCTGCCACCACACCTAGCTAATTTTTTGTATTTTTAGTCGAGATGGGTTTCACCATGCTGGTCAGGCTGGTCTTGGACGCCTAACCTTGTGATCCACCCACCTCGGTTTTCCAAAGTACTGGGATTACAGGATTGAGCTACACTCCTGGTCTATTCATTTTTTTTATTTTTTTGAGACAGAGTCTCAATCTGTCACAAGGCACCAGGCTGGAGTGCAGTAGCACGATCTTGGCTCACTGCAACCTCCACCTCCCGGTTCAAGCAATTCTCCTGCTTCAGCCTCCTCAGTAGCTGGGACTGCAGGTGTGCACCACCATTCCCAGCTAATTTTTGTATTTTTAGTGGAGATGGGGTTTCACCATGTTGGCCAGGATGGTCTCAATCTCTTGACCTCATGATCCGCCCGCCTTGGCCTCCCAAAGTGCTGGATTGTAGGCGTGAGCCACCGTGCCTGGCCTGGTCGTCTATTAATTAATATTTTATTTATTTATTTATTTATTTATTTTTTTAAAGGCAGGGTTTCACCATGGTCTTGAACTCCTGACCTCAGGTGATCCGCCCGCCTTGTCCTCCAAAGTGCTTGGATTATAGATGTGAGCCACCGCGCCCGGCCTTAATTTCTTTTTTTTGAGACAGGGTCTCACTTTGCAGCCCACACTGGAGGGCAGTGGTGCACTCTCGGCTCTCCTTAACCTTCACCTCCCATGCTCAAGCAATTCTCCTGCCTCAGCCTCCTGAGTAGCTGGGATTACAGGTCAGAGCCATCTTGCCCAGCTGATTTTTGTATATACGTATATATTTTTTTTGAGATGGAGTCTTGCTCTGTCACCAGGCTGGAGTGCAATGGCGCTATCTCAGCTCACTGCAAACTCCGCCTCCCAGGTTCAAGCGATTCTCCTGCCTCACCCTCCCAAGTAGCTGGGATTACAGGAGTCAGCCACCATGCCTGGCTAATTTTTTGTATTTTTAGTAGAGATGGGGTTTCACTATGTTGGTCAGGCTGGTCTCAAACTCCTGATCTCAGGTGATCCGCTCGCCTTGGCCTCCCAAAGTGTTGGGATTATACACATGAGCCACCACACTGGCCTTATTTTTATTTATTTATTATTATTTTTTGAGACAGAGTCTCACTGTTGCCCATGTTGGAATGCAGTGGTGTGATTTAACTCGCTGCAACCTCTGCCTCCTGGGTTCAAGTGATTTTCCTGCCTTAGCCTGTTGAGTAGCTAGGACTACAGGTGCCCACTACCACACCCAGCTAATTTTTGTATTTTTAGTAGAGACGGGGTTTTCACCATGCTGGTTAGCATGGTCTCCATCTCTTGACCTCGTGATCCACCTGCCTCAGCCTCTCAAATTGCTGGGATTAAAGGTGTGAGCCACTGGGCCTGGCTATTTATTTATTTAGAGATGGAGTCTCACTCTGTTTCCCAGGCTGGAGTGTAGTAGTGCAATCTCAGCTCACTGCACCTCCGCCTCCCGGGTTCAAGTGATTCTCCTGTCTCAGCCTACTGAGTAGTTGAGATTACAGGTGACTGCCACGACGCCCGGCTAATTTTTTTATTTTTAGTAGAGATGGGGTTTCCCTATGTTGGCTAGGCTAGTCTTGAACTCCTGACCTCAAGTGATCTGCCTGCCTCAGCCTCCCAAAGTGCTGGGATTACAGGTGTGAGCCACTGTGCCTGGCTAATTTTTGTATTTTTTGGTAGAGATGAGGTTTCACCATGTTTTCCAGGCTGGTCTTGAACTCCTGACCTCAAGTAATCCACCAGCTTCACCCTCCTGAAATGCTGGGATTACAGGCATGAGCCACCACGCCCAGCCTAAAATATACTTTAAAATATATTTCTCTGAGTTCCTCAAAGGCAGAGTCCATGTCTTTTGTCTCCAGAACCTAGTACAAATTCTTGAATATCATAGTTGCTCAGTGAATATTAATTTAATGGATGAATGGGTCACACCAGTAATTGCAAAGGGTTTCTCAGGCTCTAATCTGGCTGCAAGGACTCTGGAGAGATCTTCCTTCCTAACACCCTCCATTTATCATGTCATCAGACTGTGGTAGCCATTCAATGAGTACTTAGCATAAATCCAACACAGTGCGAATTAACTGTAATTCTCACAATATCCTTAAGAGGTGGCTACTAACATGTCCTCATTTTACACCTAATCTAAATCCCAGTTACTCCATTACAATCCCAGTTACATGACCTGGCTCACATCACCTAGCTAATAATGGAAGAGTCCATGTCTGTTTGCCATAGGAATTGGCATTTTTCACGTCCAACTCTCTAGCCCCAAAGATTTCAACCTCTTCAAGCCTTGACAGATTGGAATAAGAAACCTTCCCAGGAATCTTTCCCAATATGCTGGAACCTGAAGGGAAATAACCCCTACTCTGATCAGTGTAGACTGGGTCATGGTGAAAAGGAATGGATGTGCTCCAGGTGTGATGAAGTGCAGATTTTTAGCCTGACAGTTATTTTTCAATCAGCCAGTTACAGGAAATGAGGCACACTGCTTTCCCTAAACGGCTTGTCTTGCAACTTTCTGAACAAGTCATACCTTTCTCTTTTTTTTTTTTTTTTTTTTTTTTTTT